GTCAGCCTATTATATTTCAAAATGTTGACAAGATTCCTCTGAAACAGAATTATAGATTTCTTTTGCTTTATGGTTTTCCTGGTCAAACTTTATAATATAGGGAAACATTTAAAAACTTAGAAGATTTTCCAAGATCAGTAACAAACCCTCCACATTAGAGTGAAGTAGGTAGCCACAAAGCAAGACTGAATGACAGTGTATTTTCTATGAACTGATGAGGGTAGGAAATATAACACACAGCCCCACAGTGTGATAAAAATAGGAGACTCTTTTCTTGCACTTGTACTAAAACCTGCCTTGTGAGATTTATAACAAGGAAAGCAAGTGTGCACACAGCATTCTTCTCTGCGCAAGGTTCATTTCCATTTATTTACATTTTTAGAGAAGGAATCACATTCTGACTCACAAGCTGTCTCTGAAGTGCAGTGGCCCAATCAGAGCTCAATGCAGCCTCTAACTCCTGGGCTCAGGTGATCCTCCCCCTTCAGCCTCCTGAGTCTGGGATTACAGGTGTGTCCCACCGCACCCAGGTGGGCTTTAGAAGCTTCTCAGTATGGGACCTGCTGGGTGCTCAACACTGGCAGTGCAGCTGTGCTAAGGATCTTCTGCTTGCCTCTCCAAGTCTACTGTTCCTAGTGGTATCCTATTCTGAGTCCCACTGGCTGGCCTATAGGGACGGCCTCAGTGGCTCCTGGTCCTCTAACTTCTCATTGGGTTTGGCCAATGGGAATGATAGCAGGAGATCAGAAGTTTGGAGAAGAAGCATTTGGGCTATGTTTGCACCAGCTTCTAGCATGGCATGTCCCCATGGACTGGCCATCTGTCTTTACTGAGGGCCATGGGTCCTGTCCAGCAGCCCTCTCCATGCCACTCAGCTTCCCTCTGAACTTCTTAGTTTCCCCGGAGCTACTCCCACCCTTGCCACTTCAGGTGTAGGGGCAGTAAAAGCATCTCATCACTACTGGCCCAGGGCTGTAATGGATTCCCCGAGCCCTGCCCACACTTTTGTGAAGAGTCTCAACAAACTCTCCTCAATCACCCACCTTGAGTGCCACCTGATTCCCTGAAAGGACTCCAGTTGATATAGTAATATATGTAATTATCCAAGAGAAAATAAAGTTAAGTATTATTTGTACTAAACAAAGCAGAAGGAAAAAGGTGATCTAAGATGGTTTAGAAAAATTCGACATTCAAGTTTGGGCTAAGTATTAATGGATGTTTAGTCCTATGCTACTTCCATGGTTCAGTTATAGACTAATGCTTTTCAGTCAATTTTCAAAATTTTGGCCAAGTTACTAGCTCTTATATAACCACACTGCATAGAATAGGATAGTGTATTTGGAAGTGGAATGGAAAAAAACACTGGTTGGCTTATCAGACAAATCACTTTCCTACATCTCAAATTTAAAGATAGACACTTTCCTCCTAGGTTCACCTTGTATCTTATCACAAAACACCTTTCCTCTTGGTTCAAGGATTCAGTTTAAAGCAGGGGTCCTCAGACTTTTTAAACAGAGGGCCAGTTCACTGTCCCTCAGACAGTTGGAGGGCCAGACTGCGGGCCCCAGGACGAGTCAGCTGCTAAGCAGGACAGGCAGCAGTGGCAAAAATACCCTGCGGGCCGGATAAATGTCCTAGGCAGGCTGCATGTAGCCCGCGGGCCATAGTTTGAGGATACCTGGTTTAAAGTTAGCCCCAAGTCTCACTGGCTACTCAAGTTTACTTGATCCGAACATAAATAGCAAGGAAAAGGTACCATGAACTATGAACTTGCCATGAGTTTGTTAACCATTTAAGGATCTGAGCAATCTACTTTAAAAAGTCCTTAAAAAAAAAAAAAAAAAACCATCCCACAAATTTGTTTCAATAACAAGATCCTATATTCAGAAGACAATTCTGAGAACAGCATAGGGTCAGTCAGATTATTTCAACCTCATCACAAAAAAAAGGGAAACAAAATGATCACTCCCCTAAAAATTGCTGTGAGGCATTCAAAACACAAGGCAGATTAACACTGATAATATAAAGAGCTGGGGGGAAATGATTCTATTTCCTTTGAGCAGAGGAATTCAGATACAGCAGTGAATTAACACGGTGACCCTCCGCCCCACCCAGCAGTAGCGCTTGGCACCTGTGGTAGTCCCTTGAGTGCCAGCTCTGGGAGGTACTGAGGCTTCTCTCAAGGTGCACATCTCTAGGCTCCAAGAGCCAACAGACATGCCTTTGGCAGTGGGCAGTTTCACTGGAATGGCATTGAATGCTCTAGCAAGATCCAAGGGCATCATCTGCCAAGGGAGGTAGTCAGTGTCAGCAGCTGTAGACTGATGCTGGTGGCTATGGGAGTACTGGGAGAGAGCCACCTTGGCAGTGGGCACCACCAAGAGCAGCGAGCCACCCTCACATGGCTGAGAGGACCTCAGAACCACAGTTTAAAGGGGCAGCTTCTGTTATATTAGTGCTCTTCATTTTTATTTTAAAAGTGAAGTTACTGCATTAAGTGATTTCTTACACATTAAATGATAAGTTCTGAATAGAGGGAAATGAGAGCAACAGTAAGTCCAAAGTGGCGGAGGGCAGCACAAGGATGGTGGGGGCTCACAATAAAAGCCACCATCTGTCCCCAGCTCTGACCAGGACTGGACTTGGTTGTCAACAGCCCAGAATTCCAACAGCATGCATGAAACAGGAATACTAGACTCTCAACCTCCCATTTCACTAAGTTGATGTGTAACACACTCTAGGAACGCGATTGCTGACGATGGAGAAGCATAAGACTTGGAGCACCTGGAGCTAGCTCAGATCTGATTCCTGTCTCTGTGCTCCCTCCCTTACAGAGTGACAAGTTTTGTATGTTTCCCTCAAGATGGGGAAACCAGTGGAAATACCACAAAATGTGTTCAGTTATAAACCAAATGCTTACAAGACTCTAGTTTAACAGAGTAACAGAACTTAAGAAAACTACAGGGAAAACATTAACTTTCTCAAAATTAGCAATACAATGGCGAGACAACCATATCCAGTAATGGAGTAAAAAGTAAGTTTCCTGCAGGCATGGAATATCTGATTCTTCTTTACAACTCTCCTCACTAAAGCATATCAGCAAATTAATGAGCATCAAGAGCACTAGGCCTGGGAATGTAGCAGGGATACCACGGGGAGCCACCGAGGGAGCTGGCTGGGGACTCAGAGCCTTCTCCAGACAAGACCTGTCTCCCAACTGGCAGAGCCTACCCCATAGAACTATCCTAATTAGCCCCTTAGCTCTAAGAACATGTTTTATTATATTAGAAAAGACTGGATTATGATATTAGCTCCTCTGAGCCTCTAAAAATGAAGAGTCCAGGAAGCAAAGATGAAAAAATATCTATAGAGGTATAAATACCCCCAAATAGTACTTGAAATAGATTCAGAAACCATTATGACATTTATTTCTTTTTCTACTCTCAGCAAATGCCCATTATCACAAGGAAGATTACCATGATACTCTGGTAGGGACAAGAGTAAAATCACCAATACTCAGGAATAAGGGCCAGGCACAGTGGCTCACAACCTTATAGGGAGCACTTTGGGAAGCACAGATGGGTGAAGCACTTGAGGTCAAGAGTTTGAGACCAGCCTGAGCAACATAGCAAGAGCCATTACTACAAACATTTTTTTAAAAAATTAGCCAGGTGTGGTGGTACACACCTATAAGTCTCAGCTACTTACGAGGCTGAGGCAGGTGGATCACTTGAACCCAGGAGTTTGAGGCTGCTGTGAGCTATGATTACACCACTAGACTCCAGTTTGAGTGACAGAATGAGACCTTGTCTCAAGAAAATAAAATAGGAATAAGAATCTATAGGATCCAGGTTTTCTATTAAAGGAACAATCCAGTACTTTTAATCATTCACACTGTACTAGATCACACACAAAAAAACTCAGCATGTGGTTCAGTATTGCAACTATAAGTCTTCCAATTTTGGAAAATCAAAGATGGGCAAGAAGACTGAAAGAGCTACACATATCTTCAAGTAAGACTATGATTGTTTTTATTCTATAGGTCAAACACTGCAAAAAATGCTCTGATGGAATTAGTATCCTGGGGAAGTCATAAATTACAATTGTGTAAATGGAGGTTAGACATGATCAAGATTCACCTGCCAACATGTTCCCGATCACTGGGATAATTTGATGATATGACAGAAAAACCTAGTGAGCCACCCAAACTTTGACTCATGTCTGTCTGTCAAGGACCAGGAATGGAAAGAAATGTTTTCTATAACCAAAGAGGCCTTAATATACACACATACTTAAGACAACTGACAAAATATAATCTCCAAATATCATAAAGAAGGCAGAGGCTTCAGAGATACATACACACACATGCAATTCAGATATGCCTGTCCTTGGATTTATTTATTATTTTTTTTAATTTTGCATGGACCTTTCACTTAAAGAGTCACAACATCTCGATTTCCACTCCATTTAAATATATTCAAGTAAAGCTCCCGGGAAGGTTTCCAGAGAGTTAGGTTGCTTTAAAATTGGCCATGCATTAAATAAAGGCTTTGTCTGACCAAAGTGAGCGAGTAACTGATATGGTATCTGTACATTCACTCTGCACAAGGTTCCTTTATCTCAAAAGCGTTACTCAAAGACAAACAACAAATCAGATTACAGCTCTGGAGAATCATGCTCTGCCCCTTCCAGCAACACTGCCAGCTCACAAACATTATATGAGGACCAACCACCTGCTTCCTGAGGGATCTGCAATCTACCTTCTCCATCATTTCCCCAAGGGTTTGTCAACTTAATTTATTCCACTGCATTCATCTTCGCCTCTAAGAGATTTGGTAACAAATGCAAAGGGTCACTTCAGCAGCAAAACCAAAAAGAGAAGCCTTCTCCTATATTTTGTAATGAAACAAAATCCCCAACTCTGAGAGTCTATTAATCTAGACCTAGAGGCCACTGAAGAAAGAGCTCATGCCTGGGTCCCTGGTTTCTTTTCACATTACCTGCTTCAGTGTACTTCAATCCCACTTTTTCTTCCGTGTCTTTTGTCTTTGGGGGTGGCCAGACAGCTTGGAGCCTGCCAGGAGTCCTATCGTCCTGCTCCGTGGGGCTCTGGTCAGGCTGTTGAAAAAGCAGGTAAAGAATACATTAAATAAAATGTGGCCTGAGCTAATTCCTAAAAACAAGCATGCTAACCCTAATTCTAAAATTAATTTTGATGGCCAGATGCACATTGCTCTCAATCACTGTAACGATCCTCTTCCAAAAATGTAAGGTGATCAGTCAAAGGGAAAATTTTAAATAATCAGAACAAAAAAACTCAAGGCTAAGTTTAAATATGTGTCACATCCTTAAGAGATGACTTTTACAAGCACCAATGTACTCTGAACTGAAGATACAGACACAAATGAACTATGTTCAAGCACTTTTACAGTTAATGTTTACAAATATATCCCAAATAGCTCCAGAGTTATATGTAATGTAGATTGATTTTCATTTTCTGTGAGCCTGACCTGTAGGCCAAGACACAATTCTAAGCACTCTTCGTTAATTTCATGTTTTTCTTTCCTATAAAATATGAATGAAATTGCCTTCATATTCAAGTTATTTTCACAGGAGTTTATTTTTACAATAGGAGACTGCTCTATTGTGTTTAGTTTTTAACTATTACCCAAGATAATTTTGCCAAAGACTTTCATTTTTAACATTTCAACCGAATCTACTGAAGATATGAAGGAATGATAATCATAAACTGAATTAAGTGAGGAAATTCTATTCATTGTTCTTATGAACCTTCAAGATCCACTGAACAGGTGCTTGCGAGTCTTTATATTTTACCTTAAGTAGTTTTCTTTGAATGATAGTAACAGCTTCCATTAATTAGATGCTTCTCATGTGTTACCTTCATTTAATCCCCACAACAACCACACAAGGTAAGAGTTATTTTCCTCATTTTGCACATGAGGAAAGAGAGACTCAGATTATCCAGGTCACCCAGCCAGTAAATGGCAGTTAGAATTAAAACTCAAGTCTCATTCTAAATCCAGTGCCCAATCAGGAAGTCTCCCAACCATCCTGGAACATTCCAATCACATCACTGACACATATTTTGCCCAATGGTGTACTTTCAAAGGAAAAATACAGTTTCCATAGAGGTGTAATTAAGTGGTAAGGAAACCCTGTAAACCCAAGCTAAACTTCCACCCTGCATCACTTCCTCATGCTAGGTTTTTATAAGTTTGTTTCCTATCACCGTTTAAAACTCAGGGTGACCGACACCCTTTCCCACCTGTGTATCTTTTCGTGCATCCTTCTTACAATATCCTGGGAGGATAGAAGGAAGAATGAAAAGCACTCTGTCTAGCTCCACAGTCCTTACCAGGACAATAGAATTTCATCACAAACATTTTTCATCCAAGAGTTTCTCACAATAAGCAACTGGGATTCACTTTCAGCAGGAAACCTGAAAAGAAATACAGTGGCACCGTGTTTTATGACAAAATGCAAAACCCAGTTCTACATACGCTTTTGGAATCAGGGGGGCCATCCGCCGGCCTTGACTTGGACCGTTCGAACACGGCTCTTAATGACTCCTTCTCATTCCTCATCTTGCGCTTGAGAGCTTCCAGCTCAGAGGTGTCTGCTGTCGTCCCCTTTTTGGGGGGACGGATGAATAAGGCTTTAAAGGCCTCCAGGGCTGTCTCCGGTGGTTTTGGTTTGACCTCACCAGCCTGGGTCTGGGGCTCTCCGGGGCCGCCCTGGCTCTCCAGGTCGACACCGCAGCCCATCTCTTCTTTCCTGGGAGACTCAGGGTCTGCTGCCTTCAGTTCAGTTCTGGGCATGTCGATGTTGAGCAGCTGAGAGAGCTGCTCCAGCAGAGTGGGAGTGGCCTTGGGATCGGTGGCTTTCTCCCCACTCCTCACGGTCTGTGGCCCGGCCTGCCCTAGGGACTTCTGCACAGGCTGGGTCAATTTGAGCAAAGCCAGGTCCCCATCCTTTGGTTTAATTTCAGTGATGGTCTCCCCTCCCTCAGCTGTAGCCCCCTTCTTCAACACACGAAGCCCACTAAAAAAAGCTGGAAGCTGGAATGACTTCTCTCCGGGGACTTCTTTTTTAGAAGAGGTGTTCTCCGTGACACTGACACTCAAATTCTGGTCTCTTACTGCAGGTAGGACTTGAGACCCTTCTTTATCCTGGTCTGGGCTGGGGACGTGCTCTGGCTGAAGACCACCATCACCAGATTCCTGCCTGCCACTTATCTCAGGTGGAGTCCTCCTAGACGTTTCTGCACAGAGTTCTGTGGCATCCATTTCCCGGGTGGCAATCCTTTCCCTAGAATCTTCTGGTTTTTCTTTGGTTTCCTGAGGTGGTTCAGATAAAACACTGGGGGACTTTGGGCCCTGGGTACTGCTTCCTTCGTCTGGCTCTGGGCCACCATCATCAGAATCAGAATCACTGGTGGTATGCACGAGGGTCCCACGAACCCAAATGACATCATCTCTGGCCACACTCAAAGTACTGAGCGGAAGCAGCTCTGGACCAGGAATAGAAGTCCCTGCTTCTGCCTTCCCCAGACTTCCCTCTGATTCTGTCTCCACAGTCTTCCCATCATTTCCAAGGTCAGGGGGAACCTCAGCCTCTGCCTCCTGCTGCTCTGAGCCAGCAACACTTCGCTCATCCTGCCCAGGTGTGGGAGCCACATCTAACCGGCGGAAGGCCTTCAGCACAGCATCGTCCTCCTCGGGATCCACAGCTTCTAACTTACTCGTAAATCCAAACAAGGATTTCATGGAGAACTTACTCAGGATCGACTGAGCCATCTCAAGTCCGGCTTCGGCGTTGTCTGGTTCCAAGACATCACTGCCATTCAGAGAGTCGCCAACATCCTCCATGTCTCAATAGCACCCTGGGTGGAAGTTCTGACTCGTGTTACCTCCCCCGCTCTCTCAGTTTATCCACTCCATCTGCTTTTCATTTACAGGACACAGAGCAACAGTTCCCGAGAGTCAGGCTGTCAGCCACACTGCGAACAAACTTGCTCCCTTTCAAGGCACTGTGTCCTCCTTCCGGTTTGTGATGATGGTGTGCCCAGGGCAACTGCGAAAACTCTGTGGAGCTCAACGCCCACAGGCAGCCGAGCCATGCACCTTACTACACACAGACGGGGCAGGCTGCTCTTCTGGGACTTCCGTATTCATTCCGGTGGACAAAAGGCTTTTTGTCATAGGGAAAGTCAGCCTGTCCCGTAATCCCAGCCCAGGACTTCACCAGGAGCTCCGCCCCAGAGCCGCGGTCCTCCTGGTGGCATTCAACTTCCTCATTGGTGAGCCAGTGAAGGCTCCTGAAAGTGCTGAGCCGGCAAGCTGACCCTGACAGCCCAAGGATTCAGAAGTGAATCAGCAGAAAGTGAATGGAATGCTTCTTACACAAGCCCTCCTTTCCATCTGGGTTATGGTCAGATGCCTGGGCCATCCAGGCCAGAACCCTTGCAATGCACTCAAATCAACAGCCACTTACAAAGCCCAATCAAAAAAAAGAGGGAACAAATAGATCATTTCAAAATGCCCAGAACTCTCCAAGCAGTTAATTTATTGCCCTTGAAGCTTTTTTTTTTTTTTTAAGTGCTTTCTTCCGCTTCCCGCAGGTTTCATCTGGAATGCAGATTTCAGTTTGGGAGAAGGAAAACCCACTGGACTGGTTTCAGATTACTACTGTTTTAGCTCTGCCCTGGCTGTCTCAGAGTTCTGCAAACAGGTAGTAGGTGAGCACGCCCACCACGCCCAGTGTCCACCAGCCGTAGGGTGGCAGAGTAAACAGCACTGGCCGGGCAGGAAGGATTACCCTCCATGCTCCCTGTGCCAACCTCAGGCTTTTTCTGTTCAGCAGCTGTGACGTGTTGGCTTCCTTAGGGATCCTGCCAGCAGGAGGACACCCCTCTCCGCTTTGGCATTCCAACCAACTAAATGAAACTTGGCAGGACACCACATAACACACAACCTGCCTTGTTAGCAATTCAAATATCCCCAAGGATCCACATTCCCCCTAAAGGGGAAAACATCTGAAAGGTCTCTATCAGTAAGGTCCCTAACTCAGACCTGATTTGCCTAAAACAAAAGCAGGACAGACAAAAACAACCTCCACACATCAGCTCAATGTCATGTCCAGGACTCTGATGATATGCTGGGAACCTGGCAACTAAGGATGGGGCTGAAAAATTAGAGCTCTGTTTCCCAGCTGCATAGCTGCCTCTTGGGACGGCTTCTGTCCTACCCGAAGGTCTCTGTTTTTTGATTCCAGTCCAGTCTGCAGGCATGCAATGAGCACCTGAGATGGACAGGGCACTGTGCTGGATCCGTGGTTTCGTAGTAATTGCCAACTCTCTTTGAGCAAAGCTCCAAGAACACTGTGGCCTCGTGCTATACACAAACAGCAGTTTCTCCTGAAAATGGAAGCTGAAGCTACAAGTAAAATGACACACGTCTTGCTTGATCTGTAGCAGAGAATGGCTGTGTGTCACACATGGATAACTGTACCAAAAACATTATGCATGAGTGTTAACAGTGGGAATTTCTGATTGCAATCATACATTTCTAGCATTGTGTTCAAAAGGACCGTCACGCAGATAAAAAGGGCGTATGGATCACGACATTTCACCAACCACTATGGGAAAGTTAAGAGGGCACTTTCTAAACCCTGATGTGATCCTGTATCTAAATCAGAGGTTCTCAACCTGTGGGTTGAGACCCCTTTGTAACAATGAAAATACATTAAGAAGGTTGAGAACCACTGATCTAAATGGATACTTTTCTGTTTGCTCCTGATATTTGGAGGTTATTAACTGAGGCACACCTCATCAAAAAGCACCAGGACATTGAGAAAAATTCAATAGTACAAATAATTTAAGCCTTAGAACAAGCTTCCTGTCTAGAGGAGAAGTCCATTGATAAAAATCAAACTTCTGCTTCTTCAAGATTGTGGAAAGAAAGAATCATCACACCAGATCATGAGACCTGTCCTCTTAACAGCTGTGCAAACCATTTGGCATGGGGGAAGTGAAGAGACAGGGCACATATTTGGTGGGATCTTTCTTTCTTTCTATTCTATTCTTTTTTTTTTTTTTT